CCCGATTTCTCTTGTTCACTCTGCAATGCAGTTCTTAATGGGGTTGAATGATTCTTTCTCTTCAATTCGTGCTCAGATTTTGTTGATGGAGCCTCTACCCCCGCTGTCTCGTGTCTTCTTGTTGGTTATACAGGAGGAGCGACAACGTCAAATCTCCACCTCTTTTGTTCATCCTCTTGACACTCCTCTGGCGAATTCTGTAACTGGTACTCCTGCTGCAACTGTTCCGGCATCTTCTCACATCACTGCCGCCATTAACAACCAACGACGACCACGCCTCTTTTGCTCTCATTGTCAGCAGCTGGGTCATACGCGTGAAAAGTGTTTCAGATTGCATGGGTTTCCTCCTGGCTACAAGCCCAGGAGCCCAAATCCCAACTATCAACCCAAACCTTCAATGGGCCAGCCATTCCCTCAAGCCCATGTCCATATGGCATCCTCTCAGACAATTCCCCCATCTATCTCACCTAACCAGTACGCTCACTTACTCTCCCTTATCAATCAACAACCTACCACCACCGACAGTGCATCCTCATCTGATTGCTACCCCTCACCGACAATCACCAACTACTCACCGTCAGCTACCAACCCTACCAACCCTATGATCGCGAGCTTCAGCGGTAAACACTCCTCATTTCTTCCTTCTTCTAGCTGGGTACTTGACACTGGTGCTACTCACCTTGTCACCTACCTTCCCTCTCTTCTATCAAATTCATTTTTCCCTTCTGCTTCTATTACTGTTTCCCTTCCAAATGGTTCCCATATTCCAATTTCTTCTATTGGCAACGTCTCTCTTTCCCCTTCCCTTATTTTACAGCATGTCTTATTAGTTCCTTCTTTTCAAATGAACCTCATCTCTGTCAGTGCTCTCACACGGGACTCTAACATCATTGCTCTTTTTTCGGGTTCTTTTTGTGTTCTTCAGGAACCTACAACGCACAGGACGATTGGGATTGCTAGGCGCACGGTTGACCTCTATCTTTTTGATTCCTCAAATTTTTTCCCCCTTTTTAATGTTCCCCATCCCCTCTGTTCTTCTGTAATTTCATCATCTACACTTTGGCACTCACGTTTAGGCCATCCTTCTTCATCCATTTTAAATTCAATGAAAAATGCTTTGGATTTCAAAGATGTTATTTCTGATTCACATTGCTCTGTTTGTCCATTAGCAAAACAAAAGAGATTACCATTTATTTTAGAACCTAAAATATCTCCTACTGCTTTTTCTTTAATCCATTGTGATATTTGGGGCCCTTTTAACCCCATTTTTGTTTCTGGTGCCAAGTATTTTTTAACACTGGTTGATGATGCAACCCGTTTTACATGGGTGTATTTTTTAAAAAATAAATCTGAATTCTCATCTATTTTTCCATCTTTTTATACTTTAATGCTCAATCAATATTCTTCTTCAATTAAATCCATTCGGTGTGACAATGCACCCGAATTCAACATTCCTGATTTTTACTCCTCAAAAGGAATTCAATTATTCCACTCATGTGTTGAGCGTCCTCAACAAAATTATGTTGTTGAACGCAAGCATCAACACATTCTCAATGTTGCCCGTGCCCTGCATTTCCAGTCCCATATCCCTTTAGCTTATTGGTCTGACTGTGTGCTGACTGCCATTTACCTCATAAATCGTATTCCCTCTCCTCTCCTTCATCATCAAACACCATTTGAGCTCTTTTCTCTTATTCTCATCTTCGTGTGTTTGGCTGCTTGTGCTATTATTCCACACTTTCTCGTGTTAGGCACAAATTTTCCCCACGATCTAGTCCTGCTGTCTTTCTGGGCTACCCTCCTGGTTATAAAGCTTATAAGCTTCTTGACCTCCACACCAACCGTGTCATTATTTCAAGGGATGTTGTGTTCCATGAGTCTATTTTTCCTTTTGTGACTTATGATCCTTTTTCTTCTCCTTTAACTTCTTTATCTCTTCCACCAACTCCAACCCTTACTGCTGAAGCTCCTGACCACACCACTACCAAACCATCTCGAATAAAGAAGTCTCCTATCCATCTATCGGATTATGTTTGCTCCTCATCTGCTGCCCATCCTATCTCCTCGCATTTATCATCCAGCCGCTTATCTCCTTCCTATTCTGCCTTCATCAATACCTTTCCATCACATTTTGAACCATCATCCTATGCTACTGCTTCTCAGCTACCTGAATGGACTGCTGCTATGGATTCTGAAATATCTGCTCTTGAACACAATAATACCTGGTCTATTGTTTCACTGCCTGAAGGTAAACAGCCTGTTGCTTGTAAGTGGGTCTATCGCGTCAAATACAATGCTTATGGCTCTCTTGAGCGGTACAAAGCCCGTCTGGTTGCAAAGGGTTTCACCCAACAAGAAGGACTTGATTTTACTGAGACCTTTTCTCCTGTTGCGTAAATCACCAGCATTCGTCTTCTTCTTGCCCTTGCTGCAATTCACAGTTGGCATCTCATTCAATTGGATGTCAACAATGCATTTTTACATGGAGAGCTCTCTGAGGACATTTACATGAGCTTGCCTCCTGGATATCATAAACAGGGGGAGTCCCTACCAGCCAATGCAGTTTGCAAACTACACAAATCATTATATGGCCTCAAACAGGCTTCTCGTCAATGGTTTGCTAAACTTTCCTCTACTCTTTTATTACTTGGTTTTTCTCACTCTCAATCTGACCATTCTATGTGTATCAAGCATTCGGGTACCTCCTTTCTGGTTGTCTTAATATATGTTGATGACATTTTGGTAGCATCTAACAATATTGATCAGATTCATCATCTCACTGCTTCTCTGAACAGCAAATTTAAGTTGAAGAATTTAGGTTCTTTAAAATATTTTTTTGGGCATTGAAGTTGCTCGTTCTTCTGCTGGAATATCCATTTGTCAACGACAGTACACTTTGCAAATCCTATATGATGCTGGCCTTCTTGGCTGTAAGCCAAAATCAACTCCTATGGAACCCAACCTTCACTTATCTTCAACCACAGGTGACCCTCTTCCTGATCCAACACAGTACAGACGTTTGATTGGGAGGTTGATTTACTTAACTATCACTAGGCCTGATATTTGCTATGCGGTTAACCACCTTAGCCAATTTATGGCCAATCCTCGAGTTCCACATTTACATGTTGTTCACCGAGTGCTTGGCTACTTGAAAGGTACTCCTGGTCAAGGGATATTATTCTCTTCCTCTTCCAAGCTGCAATTCAATGCTTTCTCTGATTCAGATTGGGCTTCATGCCCGGATACTCGTAAATCTGTTTCTGGTTTCTGTGTCTTCTTGGGCAACTCTCTTATTAGTTGGAAATTCAAAAGCTAGCTCAAAGGGTGGGAATGCCCAAGGTCTTATAAACTCCACATTAGTTGCACATACAACCAATGTGGGACTATATATCTCAACAGGGAGTAATTTCTTCAATGTTTATTCCATACAACAATTATGGCCTTTATAACAAGGATTTGAAATGCTAAAATGGTAAAGGCAATATAATGCTAAGTGATACTAATCAAGACTAATTGATACCAGTCTAATCCTTTATTAATGGAACCTAGTAAATGCTAATGACGATGTGATTAACATCTCCCCAAGTCACTTTTGGAAGTGTTTATGCGCCTGGACTAAACGCGAAGACCTTGGTACATAACACCCACACAACACAAAACCAATGATGACTTCACTCATCTTAATCAGATGCTGCTAGTCGGATTCAGAATAGTCCAAGCCATTTTTTGAGGGGAAAGGGGGCGCGGTAGGGGGAAGATGCTCTGATTTCCCTCTATATGCCAGATCTGGCTCCCTGCATCCTCATAGGTGCATGGCTGTAAACTCCCGTCTACCTTTTTCTTTTATTTGAAAGAAAAAAGAATAAAGAAAAGAAAAGAAAAGAAAAAGAAGGTATTTGTTCTTGAACATTTCACTGAATTTTGGCTTTTAGGTCAATAATGATGGGGTAACAATGTATTTTCCAGATATTCCTTCAGCAATAGACCCAGATAACAAACATAGAAGGAGTGTTAAACGCTCAGACCTGAACATCCAGATATAAATTTGAAGAAAATTGTAATGGTGTAGATACAATTTGATACACCATTCTTTCCCTCAACTTTTAGGGTGTCTCTTTCACAGTTATTTTTTCTGACAGTTTAAGGGTGAAAAAATAAAATTGAATGAGATCAGACCCAAAAAATTTAACTTTTAAAAAGCATACTACAGCTATTTCATATGTTCATAACAAATAGAACATCCATCTGTTATCCACATTTACCAAAATATTCCCTTCTTTTTCTTTTTCATTTTTTTTAACATTTTTCATTTATATTCAGATAAATCCACAAATAGTGTTACAACTTCAAGGTTATCAATATGGAAGCAGAAATAAGTACCGGGCCGCAGTGTGAATGTAATGAAGAAAAGATCCTTGCCTACTCAGTAACACAATATAAGTTCAGGACATGGTTCAAGGCATAGCATCTTATTAACTCGTGTTAAAGACTAACTATAGTTGAAGTTTCTCTATATATCATAGCAGCTTATACCCAGATTCTCAAAGAAGCTGAACCCAATTCTTGCCTCTACTGCTAGGAATGTTTACTCTTCATATTCAACTTCACCGTTGAAGTCTGAAGAAGTAAACTTGAAGAGAAACACATTAGTTCAAAGAAAATTAGGAAACTATATTATTTTTTCCGCTCTCTACTTCATCACATGATTACAACAGCTAATCTCTGTCATATTCATATACATCACACATGAAAACATGTAACCACAAAGATCAAATTGATTCCAATTTCATTTTTCTATAGATCCATCAAATGCTTTCGCTGATTCTTCTATATCTTCATGCCAAAACTTTAAATATTTTGTGCTGAAGTTCAGGAGATGCAGAAATAAGCTCTGTATCTTAATTGCAAACTTCTAGTGTATAGGAGCTGAAAACTCTTGGTGTCTAATACTTGAAAGAAAAAATTGTTCATGACACGAATCTAGTCCTATCATTGAGCTATTACTGGGGGCAATCATTTTTACTTTGGCAATAGTAAATGTGAAAAAAGTAAAGAGAACAATAAATTGCCTACGGGCTACGGGAAGCTATATAACCTAATTCCATTGTAGGCTTGGAAATAATTGTAGAATTTGTAGTTTAAAACATGGGGTTGGAAGGAGTGGTGGAAAGCTTGATCTTTATTTGGGTAATTAGGTCAGTCTACACAAGAATCAACAAATAGAAGAATCACATCAAAGGTTATGCTATTCTGAATTCAAAATGACATGATAAAGAAATCAAATTCATAGTTAACTTGAAAGGTCAGAGGCAATGTGCTCAACAGCTTATACAAAGTAACTTTCACAAGCACAAAGGGGTCATGCTAAATTCATTTGATTATCACATAAAATTGCAAACGTTTGAAAATCTACATTAAATTGAGCTTATCAGGTCTAGCCATACATACCTTTCCTCTTACAAAAACTCACCTCTTCTCTTCCATGATTGGATTACCTATGGATCAGGTATCAGATCCGCACCCCATCAACATTTTTCTGCAGAAACCCAAAGTAAAATCCAATGGCCTTACAGTGATTGAAACTACAAGCAACCTACACTACACATCTACCAGTTCATGCTCAATACAAGAATTTATTTCTTATGCACATGGACATGATTACAAGTAGTTCATCAGACAGACTAGTGATTGATACATATGTTTTCCATTCCAGTGATTCAACTTTCAATTCAAGCAAAATCTACAAAGATTTACATAGAGAACAACAGAACTGGAAAAGAAACAACAACTTAAAAACCGAGAATTTATATATAGCAATTCAATGTTACTGATGTGCAGAGTACTGAAATATAAGATTCTACAAATCAGTTGAAAATTGCATTGAGAAACTAATGATACAGCTACAACACAGTTCACAATTGTGCTACTCACATAAAATTTAATGAACACCATGTTATTACCAAACTCCAATTATGAACTCCACAACAGCAAACAAAACAGAATCAGTGAATTCCTCAAGGCAAAGCATTGAGCCTCCCTTCGAAGACAAATCCCCGGTGGAGCCCTTCTCCATTGCCCGGAATGTTCTCGATCCAGCACCACTCCGCTCCTCCTTTCGCAGCGGCACATCGGTCCCACAGCGCCAATTTCCCGATCCTCTTTGCAGAGAAGCAAACCCTATCTCCGGCGCCGAACACCTTGAACTTACTCGACTCCTGGAAGCACCGGAACATCTCCAGCGGCATCCTCCCGGCCTCGTCCCACTCCATCGAGCCAAGATCGAGCCTCAGGATCAGGATAGTCGAGCACGGTGAGTTCACCGAGAACGACGACTTCAAACCGCCAACCATCAGAATCCGATCACCTGAGCCGCGCACAAGCCGCGGCCGTTTCATGATGTCGAAGACATCTCCCCACTCTTGCCGCTCGAGCCGCGACCATGTTTGTGCCGTCGCGGCAGGCGGCGGCGCAGCCAGGTTACAGGAGAAGAGCTTCCACTGGCTCCGCCACTGCGAGCCGACATCGCAGAGGGCGAAGGCTGAGTCGCCGACAAGGACAGGGCTGCGTGGCTTGGAGGGAAGATTGGAGGAGAATTTTAGCCAGCAGTGGTTACCAGCGCCGGAGAAGTAGAGTGCGGCGAGTTCGGTGAGTACCATGACTCGGTTTGCCGAGTCGACGAGTACACAACCGTGGCGTGACCAGGCGGAGCCGAGGTGGGGGAGGACTCGGAATTGGCGAGTTAAGGGGTTACAGGCGAGGAGTGATTTGGTGATTGGCGAGTTGGGCGAGTTGAGCGAGTTGGATGAGTTGAGCGAGTTGGACGAGTTTGACTCGGGCGAGTTGGACTCGGCCCAGAGGTAGATGATTCCTTGGGATGAGGCAACGGGTAGAGGGGAACGGAAAGGTAGGAAGTTTAAGGGGAAGTTGAGCCATATGTTGAGGTCAGGGTCGAAGAGGTGGAGGGAGTGGTGGTGGTGGTTGTGGGGATGGCGGAGGGCGAGGAGGTGGAGGGGAGGGTGGGTGGTGGAGATGAGGTGGAGGAAGGAAGGGGTGGTGAGGAGGTGGTGGAAGAATTTGGAAAGTGAACGGCATATGATGATTTGGCGGAGAGGGAGAGAGGAGAAGATCTGGTGGAGTGTGTCGTGTGGGAGACGGTAGATCGGTGGCTCGTCGTCCATCGTGGCGGTGGTTAGTGGTGGTGAAGTCAAATGTTAATGACAAGTTGATATTTGATAACGATGATAACTCTATCTCTCTCTCTCTCTCTCCCCCCGTTTATGCGTTGCTTTTTATTCAACTTTTCAAAGTTGCGAAATTTTTAAGCATCTTGTTCTTCTTGACTTCTAGGGATATGTCTGAATAATAAGTCACACTTCTACTAATTTTCCAATTATAATTATCCACGCTTGGTTTGTCTGAATTTATTTATGTTTAATTGGTTTCTATTTTAGTTTTTGGTTTTTCTTAATTAAGTTGTTGTTTTTACTTAAATCAAAAAACCGAACCTCTCAACTTTTAATCCACGACCTCATTTTTTAATAAAAAAAAAAACCTATTTCCATTCCTTCCAAATAAAAAATTCTCACACAGCGATGCTATATTTCTATTTAAGAATTATTAAACTTTATTCTTTTGTATTTTTAGACTTATGTCTTATATAGTTACATGACTTATATCTTTTAAATATGAAGTTATTTATTGAATTTTGAGTAGTGACTTATGTGATTTTTTTTTGCATACATACATATATATATATATATATATATATATATATATTGACCTTAAGTAATAAAAAATTTTCGTTTCGTGTCTTTTCTACAATTTACATTTTTACTATTTCTTTTCAATTTTAGTAGAAACTCCATTTTGACAACATTGTTAAGGAGTGTGGCAATTATCGATTTAGGCTGTCCAATTTTATTAGTTTTTTTTTTTGTATAATCTTGAGGTATCTCCATTTAACCTTCTCCGATCACCTTGTCCTTGGGGTACGACCCTGTAGGCTAGCCCCTCATTGAAACAGCGAGTGCATTAAGCTTCGCTACCGGAGGAAAGATGAGACTAATCCCTCTATTGGAGGAGGGAGACACATCCTCTGGTCCCAAAAATTTTTCCAAGAATTTGCTTGAGGCAGAGTTTGAACCCCTGACTCAAGCAAACCCTTGGAGCTCAGTTCTATTATTTCTTCCTAAGGCTTTCTTTTTTCATCTACGAAGAAATAACTCATTATATTTTTATTTTTTATGTATTTTGTATTTAGTAATTACATCAACTGATTTGCTCATCCAAAACATTCTTTAACTAGTTTTTTTGTTTTTAGGTGTTTCTTCATTCTTTTTCATATTTTTTCTTAACAAAACTAAATTTTTTAGTTTTTTTAGTACATTTAAAAAAAATTAGTTTTAATTCATAATAATATAAATTATTTGTAAAATTCATGTTTAACATTTAGTGATCAAGAAGGTGAATCAGGATATTAAAATTTTCAGGAATTCATGATTTTCACATTTATATATGATTATGTCGAGATCTAATAACATTTATCCATGATGAAAATTGACGTTTCAAATTGTAAATAATTTAAACCTTTATCAATTTTTTGTTTTTTCTTTTTACATTATGAAAAACATAAAAAATATATTTTTATAGGTAGAAAAAGGATAGGGAAAAATGTTAATCCTTTTAAAGGATGGTTAGTTAAAAGTAGTATTTTTATTTAAAATTTAAATTAAAAAATCTCTCACTCTTACTGGGATTTTCATTTTTTGTCATTTTCTCATTTAAAATGACACAATTTTATATCTTTTAAAAAATAAACACCAATCTCAAAAGGATAACACTAATTTTTTTCTTTTATACATATTTGTAATAAATAAATAAAAACATTATAATCATGCCCAATAAATAAAACTACTCCAATCAAGTTTATCAACAAAAAAAACTACTCCAATCAAGTAACTTAGAAATCTCTTCCCACAAGTTACATTATTAATTGCCATTTAGCGATTCATTTAACTATTTAATCATATATATTTATCGTACACATAAAACATTTTTTACATTCTTACTCATCCAAACTTTAAACAAGATTTCTTCAAAACCTTCAATTTTCATTTTCTACATTATCATGTTAATCTTGTTTTAAAGGTCACCCAATAGCAGCATAGTGCAAAATTCCTAAGATATGCACAATTCAACTCTAAATTCTCACTACTCAATAACATCACCACATTCTTTCACAGATTAACATTCAAGGCCTTTCTGGCTTAACAAAGAAGGAAATTATTGGCAATTCATCACTTCACTCGAGTGAGCAAAAGTTTTTAAACTTTAAAATAAGAATAAATATCTTTTTTGGTCTCTTACAAAAAACACGGTCCCCATTTTAGTCTTTTACAAAAATAAATTAGTCAGTTAGTCCCTAACAAATTCAAACTGGACTCATATAGTTGAAATCGTGGTCCCTCACTAATTCAAAAAAGACCCATATTAGTTCTTCAAAATGACTAAAATGGGTCCACTTTGAATTTGTTAAGGACTAACTGACTAATTTATTTTTGTAAGGAACTAAAGTGGGGACCGTGTTTTTTATTAGGACCCAAAAGGGTATTTACTCTTAAAATAACATTAAAAATAAAAATAAAAACCTTTATACAACAAAGCAGAGGCGGACGCAAGGCGCACATGTCCGCAAGTGCGGACATAAGATTTTAGTTTTTCTTTCTTTCTTTCTTTCTTTTTCTCTGTTGCAGGTTCTTATTTGTCTCTTGGTTCAATATTTATATTAGGAGTAAATACCCCGTTAAGTCCTTAACAAAAAATACGGTCCCCACTTTAGTTCCTTATAAAAAAAGTTAGTCTTGAGGTTCCTAAGAAATTCAAAGTGGATCGATTTAGTTAAAATCGTGATCCCTCACAAATTCAAAAAAGACCCACATTAGTTGCTCAAAAGGACTAAACTGTGTCCACTACCAGGTCACTAAATTTTTTTTGTAAGGGCCGAATTTTTTGTAAGGGGCCAAAAAGAGTATTTACTCTTATATTAGTTAGTAACGTAGCAACGTACATAGATGATTAAAACAACGTAGCAATACAAATTGATTAGAGAGAAAATTTATTCTTTCTCCCCTGCCACATACCCATTCACATGCTCTCTTCATCCTTTGTTTCCTTTTTCATTTTTCTAAAAAGAGAGGATTGATTGCAGGTCTGACATTCTCAAATAAGTTAATCTCTAGAGACGAAGCCTTCACTGTGATTTCGCTTGCCTTCTGTACATGTAGTGTTGACTTTTTTATTCACCATTATAAAATAGAATGATGATGTATGGATGTACTAGAGTATATTCTAATATTTGTTTTGGAGGATTGGTATGATTTAGGGAGGAAATGAATGGTCAAACTATTGCAGGCAGCTTGTTATGGAAGCAACTAGATTATGAGCGAGTTCATAACCTTGTATATAAAGCGTTAATCTAAACTGTCTTTACAAAAAAAAAATCGGGGGGCAACACCACTAAATGTGCGGACATAAAGATTTTTTTCTAGGTCCGCCACTGCAACAAAGCTAGATTATGTTAAAACTAAACAACCCAATTCTAGTACTAACATCAAATAGTACTACCTAATACTCCACAATATCAATACATCTATTATAATGAAAACACAACAGCAAGCACTGAAGGAATTATTGGATTTGCGAAAGCGTTTAGACCATTGTTGTTTGGGATGCGATGGATCATCATCATTTTATGTTGACCTCTTGTTGCACAGATTTATGCAGTATTTCCTCGTGTTTGATTTCTCTTCACGAACTGCCCTCCTATGCACGAACAAACTCCTTGAGTATGGCTAATGGTAAATCTTTCAGACTATCTCTTAAGGGGGAATAGGCTGGTGTGTGGGCACTCTCTTACTATCACAAAGATGACTTTACCTCAGTCTCTGCAATCACCAAGTGAATACTTGTGAGGCTAATGACTATAAGTGTAGAATATATATGAGTTCCAAGAAACCCTAGCCCTAAGATAAATGGGCTCTTGGTTTCTTGGGTTCTTCTTACACACTAGGCCCTATTGGGCTTTAGTGATTGAGCAAAATCTAACAATCTCCCACTGGCTCTTGAGTACAAACTTGAGCTAAAAGTCCAAGTTCATGTATCCCACTAGTCGTCATCAATTGAAATTGCATCATCCCTTATCTCGAGCTAGCTTGGGGATCTACCAGCTATTATTAATCAAGGTTCCTGTTAATCAACAAATGATTATATAATTTGGTGTTATCCCACTAAAAACCCGAACTTGAACTCCAAGATTAATAACACATATAACATGAATATGCATCGCCCCTTTGTAGAATATTGAAAATTGACTGATGAGCTTTCTATTACTCAATCAATTATTTATTCTCTTGGCTGTAATAGTTTCTATAATGAATTACATGCATTGGCCAGTGTCTTCAATATCCAAGTACCGAAAATATCAAGGGGCCACATTCTACAAATTTCATGTTGTTTATCTCATAAATATCGATAATCAAATAATCTCACTCCCACAATATCGAGTTATTGACCGTTAATAGATCGAACCTCACTCATTGGTAAATCAAAGAATGAAAATTATTTGATTACATATTTAAAATAAACTTAGGATTAAGAGTAATCACATAACTATAGTTATCTGGTTGATACCTTATGACAGAAAAATAACCTTAATCAAATCTCTCATTGATCCTTTCAATGTGAATGTTAATTCAAATTAATATTTTACAATGATTCGAACAAAACTATTTCATAAAATATTGCAGCCTAAATAAAGCACCCAACTTTATTTAATAGCTGTGAATCAATTAATAACCCGTGAGAACCTATGATTATGTCCTCTATGCATGTATCCAAATGATCATATACTCTACAACTGATGTGGACCTTAATGTTTGTAAAGTGTATGCACAAAACAATGAATAATACCTCATTTGCAAAATTCAAAAAATAATTACATTGTTTCATTGTCTTACTCCAAGAGCACAATGAACACAATATCTCCCACTCGCTTAATGCAAGTCTGGGATCCTCCTAAGACCCAAAAAAGTAACATGCCTCTTGAACACAAGTTCAGAAAAACTCTTAGTAATTGGGTTTACAAGATCCACCTCTAATGCTATCCTATTTAGTAAAAAAAACTCATATATCAAGGTCGATTTTCTTGAGTCAATATCCACTTAAAAAACTGAATTTGAGACAATTCAGCTTTTCAAGACTCCCACTAGAATATACCAACATATATTCTCTCGTTCTGCGAAGATACTTGAGTAT